CAGAATTGATCTAATCTGAATAGGTTTGATTTGATTAAAACTAATATGATCACATTACATTTGATAAGATCGCATATGATCTGAATTAATCTCATTTGATATTATTGGATCTAATATGGTTAATTATCATTTTGTCTAATCTAACTTGATTATACTCCCTCAGTTTTCATTTTGATTACAAAATGGGAATTACGAGTTAAGATCCCATGATTTTTAAATCATTTTATTTATAAATTGGTAAATGAATAAAAAATAAAAATTACATGTTAAAAAACTACATCAAAAATTCTACAATAGAAGAGATGACAAGAATATTTTATTTTATCAAATAATTAATCAAAACACACAAACAAACAAAAATTGTTGAGAAGAGAAAAAAATAAAATTATAATCAAAATAGAGACAAAGGGAGTAATATTTTTTGCAACTAATAAGGGAAAAAATCTCTATATATACAATGATAATAGGCCAAAATGAATAGTGTTCCCGCCTAAAGTTAATGGGCCGGGTCAGACGTGATGGGCTGGATACTTTGTTGGGCTTCTATTTCGGGTTTGCTGGAATTAATTAAGCCTAATATTTAGGCCAGTGATAGGGCTGTTAAAGGGTGGGTAGTATTGGGCAGCGTGTGCACAGGTTTGCTGGTTGGCTACTTTTTCGGTTTTGATGGTAATGATGAAACTAACTTTTTTGGGCAGCATGTGCACGGTAATTAAGCGCCTTTCACTACTTTTTAGGAGTCTAATTTACTTTGGTTCATATAATGCTTTAGACTGAACAAGTCTTATAGTACTTGGCCATTTAATGCAATAGATTCTCCCCCCTCTACTAACTCATATATTTATACGAAGCAAGGGAGCTTTACTCCAACACCCACTTCCCACCAATTGTGTGCAATATCCCATACCAATATGTCCAAAAAGCCACAAACCAAAATGTGGAACTTTCTTGACAACATTGATAACTTTCTTAAGTTACGAGCGATACGCGTTTACCACGTTCCGGCTTGGGCTAAGGGCGGAGATTCCATGGAAGTCCTCTTCCATGACGAACGTGTAATCTCTTAATATAGTGTATTAAACATTATTTACTTAGTTACAAAATTCATTTCTAATTATTTTCTTTTTTTACAATGGACAAGGATTCATGCTTCTCTTAAAAAACCAGAAAAGAAACGTTTTGAAAACCAAATTATGGAAGATGGCGTCTTTGGAATTCGAAATGTTTTTGTTCATGATAATTATCTTTCATGCAAAACAACTTCGCATAAATCTTTGTTGGTTTTTAACGCAAAGACTAAAGTCAAGACGCTTAGCGAAAAAGATGTCTCTCATTACATATCTCTCAACTTATTCCTTACCACAATAAATTCTATACAACTACACCAAGAACCTCATTGAAGCCAACCTAATGGAAGAACATTAGCATTCAATTCTTCTTTTTCAAGGTAACCAAACACTCCTTATTATACAATTCTCAATATTAATAAACCAAATTATACATATTCCAAAACAATGGACCATTCTATTTTGAAAAATGCATTTCGAAATTGCTATGTATTGATAAATATAAAAACCTTCTTCATACTCTGTATCAAATACTTTGGAAAATTTTAATTTTTTTAAAATTTGATTCCTTGCATTCTTAAAAATTAAACATGTTAACACAAGATATCTGTGGAGACATATTTGGTAGAAATGAGAAACCTCACTAAAAGTGCAATAATCAGTTCCAATTGTGTGAAGGTTGATCAATAAGACAAAGGTATGATACATAAGGAAATTAACATTTTTTTGGAACTGAACTGTATTCAATATTTAAATGACATAAATATAATTAAATCAAAGGGTAAAAATAGCTTAAACTCCATAGAGTATTCAATTATGGTCCAAGAATGATTAATTTAAAAAATCATTTTACCCATTCATAATCACACTCATACACATTCCATAAACTTACTATGCAAAAAAGGTTATATATATATATATATATATATATATATATATATATATATATATATATATATATATCTGTGTGTGTGTGTGTGTGTGTGTATATATATATATATATATATTACCTGTAAATGTTGTTTCGTAGTAATTTTCCTTGAAATAATCAACTGTGGCTGAATGATTTTCATGTGTGCAATTAAACCTTGACATGTTCAAACACATTACTTAAACATGTCCAAACACGTTCAATAACTTTATGTTTCTTTTAATGTACACTCCCATATATTAGGTGAAAAGAATGAAGGTAGAATTATGTTTCATCCGGAGCAATTGATATGAAAAATAAAAGTACACTTTATTAACATATATACCTCTTAAAATTAATATCTTAAAAAAAACGTCTTCAAAAAAATTGGACAAAAACGTGTATTGTATATGTAGTTTACAAAAAATTGTTTGAAGGTTGATAATAAAAAATGAGAAGGCATGTTGGTACCCCGAGATGGAATAGTCCCTAAATTGGCTCAACTCTATATTTACGATATGCACAATGAAGATTTCAATCGAATCCAATCTGTGAGGTATATACTTACATTATCTTACTTGACAAACACGTTAATTGAAGTTAAATACACTTTGTCGTTAAAAAACACATACATATGAACTACACTATTAAATTTTATTATTTACCAACATGATTTATATTTGGGAAAGAAGACGATGTTCATTCTTTACATGTCGAGATTGTTGCAAAGATTGGGGAAATGTTGGATACTCACAATGTCTTAGTGAAGTCATTTCGAATGATTGGAGAGAAAATAAGCCAAGATTTAGAATTCAATCTGACTTTGAAGCTAATCGGAAAGAGAACTTCTGATCCAAGATTGTACAATTTACCATCAATTGGGAAGGTAGCAGCTTTAGTCGTTGGCGATTTAAATCTTGCTTGTTTGAGTCTACAAACCCCTTATTATTTTCATGCGATGATGATGGTTATCACGAAGATATACCCTTTGTTGTGAAAACTTTATTGAAAGTCGGAGGACGCAGAAGTGTAAGCATTCGAGAATTTCTTTCATATCGCTTACATGAAAGGGATGAATAAAGTTCTTTCATTTTACATTTGTGTGGCTTATTTTCAGAGTTATGTGTCGATGGATATACGATGGTTGAGTCATCAAGATTGACGTATATTAGCAAACACCAAAAAAACTTCGAAATGAGATGTATAATAAATTCTCAGATTCCTTTCTAAATGGTGACATTGACACGATGACAAAAGGGAAAAGAGTTGTTCCCGCAACGTTTGTTGGAGGCGCACGTTACATGATCCAGAGCTATCAAGATGCTATGGCAATATGTCGGTGGACAGGGTATCCAGATCTGTTCCTTACATTCACGTGTAATCTGAAATGGTCGAAAATTGATCGCTTCTTGCGTAGTCATCATTTAAAGCCCGAATATCGCCCTAATATTGCTTCTAGAGTATTTAACATCAAACTTAACGGCTTGATACGAGATTTAAAAAAGAATGAAATATTCGGGAAAATCAGAGCATGTAAGTGTTTGATAACAAGCCTTCAAGACTATATAAATTCAATTACGTAATTTCAATCTCTTTTCCAAATTATAAAACTAATAATATAAATAAATTTTTCTTTTACAGTTGTTTACACTGTTGAATTCCAGAAACGTGGTCTACCGCATGCCCACATATTACTGTTTTTGGGAGAGGAAGATAAATTTCCTACACCTAAAGAAATTGATGGAATCATTTTTGCGGAGTTGCCTGATAAAGTTAGTGAAATCAATGACTACATGACATCAATGAACAACGTTAGAGAAGCGAAAAGCTACTTTAGCTCTGATACAGTGTGTAAGTCTGATTCAACTGCAGATTTTTTGACAGACTTACATTCTCTGGAATTCTTGAACAACATACGAGCATCTGGTTTCCCAAATCATGAACTGAAGTTGAAGGTTGGAACACCCATTATGTTGTTGAGAAATATTGACCAATCATCCGGTCTTTGCAATGGAACAAGGTTGATAGTAACTCGACTTGACAATCATATTATTCAAGGCACAGTGATGACAGGAAAAAATGTCGGGCAATAAGTTGTTATTCCACAGTTGTCGCTCACACCGCCAGATGCAAGAATTCCTTTTAGATTTCAAAGGAAACAATTCCCAATCATGATTTCATACGCTATGACAATTAACAAAAGTCAAAGCCAATCTTTGTCCCATGTTGGATTGCTACTGAAGAAATCGGTATTCAGTCATGGTCAACTCTATGTTGTAATTTCACGTGTTACAAGTCGCAAAGGGTTAAAGATCTTGATATCGACTACGGTCCTTCCTGTATACTAATTTATTTAGGGGAATTTTAATAAAATTTGTTATCTTTTAATTTTTGAATGATTTTTTTTATTTCATATCATGACTAAATGCAATTAATTTTACAGCTCGTGCATCGCACAGGTACGACTGTACGAGTCTATATCATTCAAAAAAATGAGGGAAAAAATAATTTAACGCCCAATATAATAAGGTTGCATTCGAATGGGGCAGCACAAACGATGATAAGCCTATCTCTTCCCACTCCCTCTAACCTCACCCCTTCCCCTTCGATCAAACCCAGAAGTTGTTCTATCCAAAAGCCCGCTTCTGTTCGGTACCAAAAAACCACTGATTTTGAAACTCTCAAAGACCGTTTGATTCGCCAGGCCAATGCAGGGAACATCCGCAAAGCAATTTCGACACTTGATCTCATTTCCCGGATGGGTTTCACCCCAGACCTCACCTCATATACCGTCCTCCTCAAATCCTGCATCAGAACCCGAAACTTTGAACTCGGTAAGTCAATCCAGTCCAGACTCTCTGGTTCGCCGCTCGAACCGGACTCCATTGTTCTCAACTCACTTATAAGCCTGTACGCCAAATGTGGAAAATGGGAAACTGCAAAGGAAATTTTCGAATCAATGGGTGCTCAGAGAGACTTGATTTCGTGGAGCGCTATGATTTCGTGTTATGCTCATTGTAATAGGGAACTGGAGGCCGTTTCCACATTCTTTGAAATGGTTGAAATGGGGGAGTGCCCGAATCAGTTCTGCTTCTCTGCAGCTATTAAAGCTTGTGCTAATCTAAGGTACGGTTGGATTGGGCTGGTGATTTTCGGGTTTGTGCTCAAAACTGGGTATCTTGATTCTGATGTGTGTGTGGGATGTGCAGTGATTGATTTATTTTCTAAAGGGCATGGCGACCTAGAGGCCTCCCAAAAGGTGTTTGACGAAATGCTTGTTAAGAACTCGGTTTCCTGGACTCTCATGATCACTAGACTATCTCAGTTTGGCAATCCACGAGATGCTATTGTCCTGTTTGAAGAAATGCTTTCGGCTGGTTTCATTCCAGATAGTTTCACTCTTAGTAGCATATTATCATCTTGTGCTGAACTCGGGTGCCTATCATTAGGTTTGCAAATGGATGTTTGTGTTGGTTGCAGTATGGTCAACATGTACTTCAAATGCTCTACGGATGGATCCATGGACTATTCAAGGAGGGTTTTCGATCGAATGCTTGATCATAATGTTATGTCGTGGACTGCTGCAATTACAGGATATGTACAAACAGGAGGCGATAGGGAAGCTATTGACTTGTATTGCAGGATGATAGAAACCCGAGTGAAACCTAACTATTTTACATTTTCTAGTCTTTTGAAGGCATGCAGAAATCTTAGGCGTCCTGATATTGGCGAGCAGATTCATACCCATGCAGTAAAACTAGGTCTTGCGGCTGTGAACTGTGTGGCGAACTCTCTGATTAGTATGTATGCCAAATCCAGTAGGATGGAAGATTCCAGGAAAGCTTTTGAATTACTCTTTGAAAAGGATTACATTTCATACAACATAATCGTTAATGGCTACGCCAAGAACATGGATTCCTCCAGAGCAATTGAACTTTTCAACCAAACCGAAGAGTCTGGAGTTGGAGTTGATGCTTTCACCTTTGCAAGTATCTTGAGTGCTGCTGCAAGCATAGGAGCAGGTTCCAAGGGGGAAGAAATACACGCGCGGCTGCTAAAATTAGGGTTCCACTCCAATCATTCTGTCTGCAATGCTTTGATCTCAATGTATTCCAAATGTGGTAACATAGAGGCTGCTCTTCAAGTCATCAACAAAATGGAAGCCAGAAACACATTTTCCTGGACTTCAATGATAACAGGTTTTGCAAAACATGGATTTGCCAAGAGAGCTTTAGATTTGTTTGGGCAGATGCTCGGTTCAGGTGTGAAACCAAATGAAGTCACCTACATAGTGGTTTTATCAGCTTGCAGCCATGTCGGGTTGAAGATGCCAGATGGAAGCACTTCATGAAAGGTAACCATGCAAGGATAGGCAGCCGAATATAAAATTTTTAACATCCTAACATGATTATCTTGCCCAGAATCACGTACTAAAACTTATAGTAAGTAAGAAATTTATACTTTTCTCCGTAAGCAGTAAAAATGAAGAAGTCGTAGGAAAAGCGTTGAAAGTGCAAACGTAACCGTTCAAGCGTCCGGTCTCCAACTTTGACACACGAACAACGCCGGAGTCTACCGCAATCTTTATGCTAGTAAAGATTATAGTAATATAAAATATAAAGATTAAAATTTGGGATAATAATAATCTTGTATATTTCTATAGAAAATATTTCAATAATATTTAGAAAATATTATAGATATTTTCTATACACAAAATGATATTAATGGAACACAAGAATTTTCTCTCACTAGATTTCAAAGTGGTCGAAACTATTTCTCAAAAATGAACCACCCCAAAAATTGTGAATGGAGTAAAGTATTTAAATAAAACAAAGATGTTAAATTAACTTTTGTTATTAGCTAAATGACAAAACCATTAGTCCACTAATTTATCAATCAAGGAAATGTTGAATTCAATTCAATGATTCCAAATCCTCCCTTAGCCGTAAGTGTAGATTGTGAGAAGGATTTGTGAAATTCTTCTCCACTTAAATGTTCAAAGTGTATTTTATTTGACACCAAAAATTAATATAAAATTAATTTTAAATCAAATAAAATATCAATATCATTTTTAAACAAGTATACAAATATACTTTAAATAGTTTATGTCAAATTAATTATTTTCATAACTAAAATGACAAATCAAAATAAAATATTCAACATATAATATATATATACACACACACACACTTCGGTATTTATATATAATATATATATATATATATATAACCGAATATTTATATATATATATTATTATATTCCAAAATATTTTATTTTACTATTTTACAAATATACAAATTACTTATTATCCCATTGTTTAATCCTACTCTTTAAATTGTCCAAAGTGTGTGACCCGTATAGGCACTTATAAAGCTGGTCACAGTATTGGCTCTGCGCCAATACTATAAGCAATAAGCGGTATCTAGCAACACATTATTGCCCCCAGATTATAAGTTAAGACGTTTGCACCGTCAAAACCTTTCCACGACTCAAACTCCGTGTAACTGTATCCCTTTGTCTCAATGTCTAAACTTAATGCAAGGAATTAATAAAATCCAGCTTGTATCCATTAAGTCATTCACTGATTTATCAAGTTTGACTAATAGGAACAGACGTCATAAAAACATCTCAGCATGGCCATGCAATTTCCTCAATCATAACTTATCAGTGGGCCCCATAAGACATTAATCCTTTATATATATAAAGCAGAGTCGGAGCTAGCTATAAGAACGTGACATTTGGCAGAGCTAAAACACGACATGTGGCGAGCTGATGTGGTGACATTTGGCAAAGTTATAGCGCGACATGTGGCGAGCTAATATGTCACCCTTTTAGACAAACCGATCGGTTTGACCGGTTTGACCAATTCTTTTTAGCAATTTTTTCCAAAAGCATACCACCATGGGGTTTGAAACAAGGATCTCTTGGTCATTTAGTTGAGTTCCTAACCATCCAAGCTTGGGTGCTTTTTGTTACAATCTCACTTAAGCTTTTATAATGTCTCATAATTAAAAAAGGATTGTATAAAAATTTCTTTTTAGTTATAAAAAATATAATCCTTTAATAAAATATTTGAGACTCCGTTTGCTAAAAAGTCGCCAAAAGACAAGCTTATGTGGGCTATATTAAGGTGAGATGACAAGTCTTTATTGATTGCTTATGCGGCAAATTTTATTAATAATGAATTTTCTTTTTATTTTAAAATAGAAATTTAATAATGATTTTAAATTTTGGAAAAATTTTACATTAAAAGATTTAGTAGAAATAAAGAATTCACTACTTCGTGACATTAGTTGAGTATTTATATTTTTATTTTTAAAAAGCAAATCATCTATTTATTTGTTATGGATATTTAGATAATTATTTATTTCAAGATGTTAGTCTAATCAGCAGAGAAACACTATCTGATAAACATCTTTAAATATAAATCTAGGAATATAATATTTGTTTACATTAGCATGAGATGTGTAAACATATTATATGTGCTTATACATGATAGGATAACGATGAACAGGTTGCCATCAGGGCACAACTCCAACACTTCAACTCAATGTCCAAAGAGCATGGGATCAGTCCAAGGATTGAGCATTACGCATGCATGGTTGATCTTTTTGGAAGATCAGAAAAGCTTGAAAAGGCAGTTGAGTTCATCAAATCAATGCCTTTCGTCCCCGGTGCCATTGTCTGGCGCACATTGCTTGGAGCTTGCCAGGTTCATGGAAACATAAAGCTTGGAGAACACGCGGCCCAAATGGTTCTTGAGTGGGACCCAGACGATCGAGGAGCACATGTCTTGCTGTCAAACTTACATGCGTCCACTGGAAACTGGGAAGAAGTTGCACAAATCAGAAAAGAAATGAAAGAACGAAAACTGGTGAAAGAAGCTGGTTGTAGCTGGGTAGAAACTGAAAACGGGATGAACAAGTTTTATGTAGGGGATACTATGCATCCACGGGCAAAGCAGATATATGAAGAATTGGATCGACTGATTGTGGAAATAAAGGCATTGGGATATGTCCCAGACACAAACATGGTACTCCACGAGGTGGAGGAGGAACAATATCTGTATCAGCACAGCGAGAAGATAGCAGTGGCTTTCAGCCTCATTAGCACATCCAAACAGAAGCCCATTCGGATATTCAAGAATCTCAGAGTGTGCAAGGATTGCCATACGGCAATGAAGTACATGTCAGTTGCGAGAGGTCGAGAAATTGTGGTGAGGGATTCCAATAGATTTCACCATTTCAAAGATGGGGTTTGCTCTTGCAACGATTATTGGTTAATGGTAATACATTCCAATAGATTTCACCACTTTCATCGTATCTCGTACCATACACTTTCTGAAAATGTTCGTGGATTTATTCAAATATATTGTGCTTCTGTAATGCACTCTAGATGCCTAAATTAAAGAAGTCATGGACCCTTTTCACCTTCATTAGACTACTCAATCTACTAAAAGGGGAAGAACAAAATTATCATTATCCTAACCTTCATTACACTACTCAACCTACTCATTGCACTATTTTCAATGTTTGTTGTTTAGTTGTAGGTATTTTTGTAGTATTATTCTTTCTTTTTTATTTGTTAAATACTCCCTCCGTCCCTAAATAGATTACAATTTTTTTCTCTATCCTCTTGATAACTTTTGTTTGTTTACGTAATTTCATTAAGTATTTGATAAAATAAAATATTCTTGTCACCTCTTGTTTTGTAGAATTTTTGACGTAGTTTTTTAATATGTAATTTTTATATCTTATTGATATACCAATTTCTAAATAGAATGATTTCAAAAAGTAGGAAATTTTACTCCATAACCCGCAATTTGTAATCAATTGGGGACGAAGGGAGTATTTATTAACTTTTTTATAAGTGGTTTTTGAATTTAACAACTCATTTTTTGGTTTTTTATGATTCTTTGATCATATGTAAATTTTGATGTAAAAAAAATTCCGTTAGTTAAATGTAAAGTAGATACATAAGTATGAAATATGTGGTGCGCTGTGAGGATACTGAAATAAAACAATACAATCAAACAGATCGAGTCAACCACACGCAATGAAAGGAGACATTCCAATTCCATCAAGCCATTTTTGTCGGACTCAGGTAAGCTAAGAAGACTGACCTGTTATTTGGATCATATTTCTGCCTCATCACTTCCATTGAACCCAATATTTCACAATTGTTATGATTATATTCATATTAATGAGAAATGGTTTAATATCGCAAAGGAAAAAGCCACCTTCTATGCACTACCAGAGGAACAAACCCTTACAGAATAATTCAATCCAAAACACACATACCAAAAATAATGTTTTTAGCTGTAGTGGGTAAGCCTAGGTATGGGGCTAATGGGGGTCTACCTTGGGGTGGGAAAATAGACATTTTTCCATTCACTTTTCTTGCTCGAGCAAAAAGGTCATCTATAAATAGGCCAGCAGGAACACTTGAAGTGAAGGCAGTGCCAAATATAGATAGAGATGTGATGAAAAAGATTTTGATTTAGAAACTGCTGCCAGCAATCCAGGAAAAATGGCCAGGACCAACAAAAGATGTTACTCCCTCCGTCCCAAAAAGAATTTCCTACTTTGATTAACGTGCAAACCCCGTGGATTTTAAAATGATTTTATTTGCAAATTGGTAAGGAAATAAGACATAAAAAAATTATATTTAAAAACTACATCGGAAACTCTACAAGATAAGAGGTGACAAGAATATTTTATTTTGTTAAATGATTAATGAAAACACACAAACAAATTAGAGTTATCGAGAGGCCGTAATAGTAAACACGAAAGACTTTTTTGGACGGAGGGAGTATAATTTAACAAGATAATGTAAAACCACATGTGGATTGAAATAATCCAGAGTTTGTAGCAGCATTACAAGAAGGAGATTGGAACATTCAGATGAAATTTCAGCCGCCTAATAGCCCAGATCTAAATGTACTTGATCTGGGTTTATGTCAATTGACAGCATTCAAGACAAATCAGCTCCTAGAAATTTAAATGACTTGATCAATGCTGTAACTGCATCATTTGAGGAACTCCATCATGAGAAGTTGAATAATGTTTTCCTAACTTTGCAAGGAGTTATGGGTGAGGTATTAAGAAATAAAGGTGGCAACAGCTTCAAAATACCTCACATTAGGAAAACAAAAGTAGCTAGGCAAGGAAGGCTGCCACAGAATGTAGGGGTCAACCAGGAAATTTATGAACATGCAAAATAGTTTTTAGAAAAACATATGTAAACTATTAACTATGGGAAGTTCTTTTTTGTATGTATAAAAGGGCTTGGGAAAAGTACAATATTTTCCTGTACTCCTAAGTGAATGCTTTTGCACAAATGTTTTGGGCACATATGTAGTTAGTGTAGCATCTAACTTTGGTTACCAAGCAGTTTGGTCAAGGTACAAAATGTAAATGTACTACCAACTGCATCTTTTTGCACTTTTTGTTCGGTTATATCTAAAGTGTAGTATCTGTCTTTTGTTTAGAAGAAGTGTAGTATCTAAAGTGTAGTATCTGTATTTTGTTTAGAAAAAGGTGTAGTATCTAAAGTGTAATATCTGTCCTTCTTTAGAAAAAAGTAGTATCTGTTTTTTAAGTGAAGTATCTGCTTTTTATAATCAAAAGTGTGGTAACTGTCTTTTATTTAGAAAAAGTGTAGTATCTGTCTTTTATTTAGAAGAAGTGTAGTATTTGTCTTTCTTTATTAAATCATAAAGACACTATTTATTTAAAATAGCTACTCTAATACGGAGTATATATCTTATAAATAACATACTCTCTCTGTCTATAAAAAATTTCTAGGTTGACTTTAATGTAATTTAAAAAAATATATATTGCATGGTAGGAATCTGTATAGAAAAATAAATATATTGTGAACTAAGCGCACCGGCACCAGCGCAGTAAAGGGCCTGCCACGCCTGCCTCCATCCTCGTTCAGCGTGGCGAGGCAAAGGCGAGGCACCTCGCCTGCCGAGCCATGCGCGAGGCATCTTCAATTTTTTTTGTCGTAGGAATTTTTTTTAAAAAGAGTATATCTATTTTTATAAACAAAAGATAAGTAAAATAATTTTTAATAATTAAAATATATCATAAAGATGTAAAACAATGATAAACACAATGACTTGCCACTGTATCGCTTGCCGCTCCTCTCATTCTACACATGTTGACTGAGTTGTCTCTGATTGGATGAAATGTGTCACGTCAACGTGTGACATTCGAGCGTTTTACTTTCCACGGTGTATGCTCTAGTACTCTTTCTCTCTCAAATTAAGTTGTTCTTTTATTATTTACAAGATCAAATTTTTTTACTTTCTTTTTTTTATTTTCGTTAGATATTTGATAAAATAATATATTCATGTCATCTCTTATTTAGTAGAACTTTTGATGTAACTTTTTATTCGGCTCCAATTCTCCAAGAGACTGTATTCAAAATAGTTTAGTCAAATTGAGTGGAATGGGAATTTCTTTTTGATGAGCATACAAGAAAAACAAAAGTTTTGAGAGAGGGAGTAATCAATCAATCTCCCCCTATCTAATGGCGTGGAGTGCGAGTTCACCAGCAAGGTATTGATTGCTATGGAGGAGACTCCAAGAGGCCACGCCCCACTCCTTCTCCTTTCCGACCAGATCCACTCTCTTTCCGATTTCAATTCCTTCTTCACTAATCTCAACACGCTCCTTATCCCCAGCAACAATGGTGGCCGCCACTGCCGCTCCACAAACGCCCATCTCGGCTTCTCCTCAACCACCGTTTCTGTTCAAGGCCAAGTCAAAACCCCCCAAATCCCAAAACCCACTCCTCGGAAATGGCTAAAACCAGCCTCCAAGGACTCCCCTGGAGTCCAGGCGCTCTTCAAGAACCTATCTGTTCTTGAAAGAGCACTCATCGGTGCTGCGGCTGGGGGCATTGCAGGAGCCTTCACTTACGTGTGTCTTCACCCTCTTGACACCATCAAAACCAAGCTCCAGACAAAGGGGGCTTCGGAGATTTACAGCGGCACCATGGATGCCATTGTCAAGACATTTGAGAGCAAGGGAATTCTAGGGTTCTACCGAGGGGTTTCAGCTGTGATTGTTGGGTCAACATTTTCGTCTGCTGTGTACTTTGGGACTTGTGAGTTTGGGAAATCTGTTTTGTCAAAATTCCCAGAGTACCCTCATGTACTCATCCCTCCAACTGCTGGTGCAATGGGTAATATAATCTCTTCTGCTATTATGGTGCCTAAAGAATTGATCACACAGAGAATGCAGGCTGGGGCAAAAGGGAGGTCTTGGGAGGTGTTACTGAGGATTTTGGAGAACGATGGTGTGATGGGACTCTATGCGGGTTACAGCGCTACACTGTTGAGGAATTTGCCTGCGGGAGTGCTTAATTACTCTTCATTCGAGTACTTGAAGGCTGCCCTGTTGAAGAAGACTAAAAAGGCGAAATTGGAGCCGTACCATAGTGTGTGTTGTGGGGCATTGGCCGGGGCGATATCTGCCTCTTTGACAACTCCTTTGGATGTGGTGAAGACTAGATTGATGACCCAAGTTCCAGGGGATGCTGCGAACAAGGTTGCTGCTGCAATGGTTAGTGGTGTTTGGGCAACTTTGAGGCAGATTCTCAAGGAAGAAGGATGGATGGGACTTACGCGCGGAATGGGGCCTAGGGTACTTCATAGTTCCCTCTTTTCTGCTTTGGGTTACTTTGCCTTTGAAACAGCTAGGCTTACCATTTTGGAGGAGTACCTGAAGCAGAAGGAGAGCTCCAAACTGCCCCTATCAATCTGATGCAATGAATTTGGATTATATTTTCAATGCGATACGCAACTTGGTGGTGAGTCGTCTTCTTCTTCCAATCCCTTTCAGTTATTGTATACTCTATCATGCTTGTATCCATTGTCTTATTTTATAGTAAGGCAGTGTCTAATAATGCTCCAGAAGTTTAGGAGCTTGTATTCGTTGATATGAGCCGTTTTTGGTTTTTTATCATTTAAATTTCTTTTTGGGTTTTTTATAGGTCATGGTATGCCCTCCACTCTTAGTTTGGATGAACAAAAAGGACCTCATGTTTTGGATGTTTGGTTCAATATAAAAGGTTCTTCTTTGCAGGAGGGACTTGCATAGATTACATGATTTGCTAGGGCAACTCATTACATTATGATTTTCAAAGGCTAAAATTGATTTCCTGCCAAATTGATTTTCAAAGAGTATGTAGTTCTCAGTCATGTACAACAACTTTTCTAAATTGCTGGCTATTGAGAAAAAGGGAAAAGACTATTGAACTTTATTGGGTATCTTATAGGTCATAGTATGCCCTCCACTCTTTAGTTTGGATGAATAAGAATGACCCTCATGTATAGGATGTTTGGCATTAGCATCCTTTTTTCGCTCGTGCTCTGCTCTTCAACTCATCACCACAATAGTATTAACCTTTCTATTATTTCTTCTCCTCCTAAAGATTTTTTTCTCTTTTGTATTTTAACAAGTCCGATTGAGTGCAGCTCATTAGATACATTAAACTTATAATAGCTCTCGCATACTCGATATGAGAGTTACTCGGACCTTGGTGTTTGGCCAGGTGTGCATCAACGTTCAATGCCGTCTTCGCTACTCTGACGTCATCCTTGTTGAGCTTGTCAAGGATTTTGTCAATATAATGGGATGACTCAGTGCTAGATCATAAGGACTTCTCCCAAATTTAATTTGAAGAATTACTTCAGCTAGACCCATGTTCTTCATGTCAAACTGTGAGTTCAACATATCCTTGGTAGACTTGACCATCTTGTCATTGCTACCTACTATGAGTATGTCGTCTACATAGAATCAACTTCACTTTTAATGGCATCTTTCCACTAAGGGCCTTCAAACGAAGTCACTGCTTCACGATAAGTTTGTGGTTCATTTTCTAATAAACATGTTAGAATATCGTGTTCGGTCTTTATCAGAAATGATACAGTTCCCGATTCAAATTCTAACATGTAAGTTAGAAAATCAGGACCAAAGGATTTCTCATTCCGTGTCTTTTTACTTTGTCTTGGTTCAATCTCAATTAGGGCTGGGTTGGAAAAACCGAAAACCGAACTGAAATCGATCGAAACGAGCTAGTAAAAAAACCGAACCAAAAAAATCGAAACCGAATGTAAAAAACCGAACCGTTAATGTTTGGTTCCTTTTGGTTTTCACTTTGAAAAACCGAACCAAACCGAATAAACCGAACTTTCTTAGATATTTCGCTTTATTTATATGAATATATGTGATATGTAGAAAAATCATAGAAATATAAATGCAAATAAATTACTAGTCGATTTAAATTATTTTCTTATCTATTAATGAAACATTCTAGCCATATTATTATAAACTTTAAAAACCTTAAGAATATATATGAACACCAATAGCTAATTCTAATATAGAATTATATTAAGATTAAAAATTGATATGCGTAATTTACATCTTTACATAAAAAATACTTTGATGTTATAATGAAATTAAAAGTATTATACAAAAATATAAACTCTTTGTAATTGATTTTACATACGATGTCTTTGAAAGTATTTAGAATCTTCTAAATGTTTGTTGGCACTCCACACATCTTTTTTATGTAAAATTAAACTAAAAGGAGCAATAACCTTCCGTTTGGTTTTTTGTTTTTGTGTAAAAATCAAACAAAAAAACCAAAGTTAACACTACATATTTTTATTGTTTCATCGAGTTAGTATTTTTATAATTTTTTAATGCTTATAAATTTCTACTTTTATAAACCGAAAAAACCGAAATAAAAACCAAACCGAATAACAAACGGTTTACATATTTTTTTTGCAAAACCAAACCGAACCGAACCGCCAATTTACCTTCCGTTTTGTCTTTGGTTTTGGGTAAAAACCAAACCGCCAAAACTGAACCCACCCCTAATCTCAATTTTGGTTTCATCAATTATACCGGTATTAGATTGATCTGGGTAACCATCGCTCAATATTTCATCATGTGAATGTTTGAATGAACTTGCTTCGTCTTTAGATTTTAACAGAAAATATCTTTGAAGAATGTTGCATTCCTTGATTCCATTAGCATGTTCTTATGTATTTCCATATTATCAGATTTATACACTAAAAACTGATAAGTGCTACCATTTTAGCCAATGAAGATTCTATCAACGGTCTTCAGGACCAATATTAATTTTCTCTGGTGGTGGTGCTAGAACTTTTGCAAGGCACTCTCACACTTTCAGATGTTTATATGAAGGTTTTCTATTATACCACAACTCGTAAGGAGTCCTATCAAGTTTTTTTCGGAGTATTTTATTTAACAAATAATTTCTAGATAAAATAACTTCACCCTAAATATTTTGGGGTAGCCCCGAACTAACCAACATCACATTCATCATATCTTTAAGAGTGCGATTTTTCCTTTCCACCGCACCGTTGGATTGGGGTGTGTATTGTGGAGTTATTTGACGCACAATTCCACGTTTGCACAAAACTTAGCGAATGAAGCTGTTAGGCGTGTCGTAGTGCCTACAAATTAATTCTTTTTCTTATCCCCTCTTTAATTTTAAATTTATAGTTTATAGCTAGGGTAAATAAGAGTCGATCCCACGGAGAAAGATATTCTTTATTTTATGAAAATCAATTACTTAAGTTTTACATTATTTTTTTTTCATTTAAAAACAACTAATAAAAGAGCTACCTATTCGGGGGATTTTAAAAGATAAATTGGAAAGATAAAAATAAATAAAAAGGATAAGATGGGCAAAGAAACTCAACCAGAGCTAGAACAAGGAAGCAGACACACAAGGACAACACTAACACAAAACAAAAAAACACTTTAAACTTTATAAAAACGTAAACGATAATAATTAACTTAAAAGAGTCAAGTCCAGCCACACTTACCTGGTGATTGTAACCTAGCTCAATTGTTTCTCCAATAACTCTTCCACTCCTTAACAACATGCAAAGTACACAAAGCTGCAACTTGAAACAAGAACGGTATTAGAATTCTTAAAACTTATCTTTATCACTTGATTAAGTGCTGCAAAAAGGGCTGATTTGTTATTTGGTTTTAGTTCAACACTTTTATCATTTAGTATCCAAGCTCTTTTCGTTTTATTCTTGTAGAGAAAATGACAAATAAGTTCCTTAGAGCATCTAAAAATGAACCTCGTCTTACTTAAGAGAAGCAATTTTCCAAAACCATTCATGATATTCATTAAAAAGGCCATATAAAGTCCAGGGGCTCTCTTATTTTAGTCTGGACTTCCTTTAATGCTGTCCAGATCAGATTTTACAAGCAAAACATCCTTAGACATTTTAATTTGCATCGTAAAGTATATAACTTGACCAAAACTGTTGCTAACTCTAAGAAAATGACCCAACAGGAGGCAAAACACTCAAAGTATTACTTCTGACTTGAAAAAGGAAAAGAAACAGAATGTAAAGAAAAGGCTTTTTTTTTAAATAAAAATTTTTTTTTTGTTTTTTTTTACTCAAGCAAAT